TTTGGGATGGATGTGAGCCTTTAGGTTTCATTGATCAACAGTAACTTGCAGTTGCAAGGTGCCTCATAGGAGTACTATTAAATGGCAAAGATGAGTGCAGAGCCAGAGCAGGAGATACCGTGATGGACCAAATGGTCATCTTCTGCGCTGTAGCATTCTACAGTTAGGACGTATGACCAAAATCTCAATCAAAGAGCTATCTTACGGAAGGGGAGCAAGGGAGAGAGGTGCAGCAGTGTAGGGAAGGAATTCCAAAGCTCACGACCCAGGCAGCTGAATGCACAACAGCCAATGCTGAACCAAAGGAAATGGTGGGAGGCTGGAAACGGAGATGCCAGGGGATCATGAGGCTGGAGGAATAGTGGTGGAGGGAGCCAAGGGTTAGAATTTTGAAACTGATCTCCTCCATAAAGTAACAGTCATCAAGAAACAGCAATCCTAGCTGCAATGAGTAGGCAAGATGAGAAATCAGAAATCAATGATGAGACGACATAAAGTCTGTGGAGTGATTAAGGGAAGATGAGGCTCGGGAAAAGAGTGAGACAGAGTGGAAGGTGATGCTTGAGTATTAACGCTACATTGGTGAATACATAAAGTTGCTGGTTGGACGATAATCTCATGCAGCACAAAAACATGTTAAGAAAGAAAGACCAGAGACATGTTTTGCCCAAGAAGCAGGTGATACTAAAGGATCTGCTCCAGGATCATCCCAGAAAGTCGAGGGATCAAAGGCTAAATTCCAGGTCACTACTGTGAACAAAACTGAGAGAAAAAGAAATGTTAGAACATTCAAATAATGTGTGGTTTTCAAAAATGAATTCCTGGAACACTTTCACCTATCAACCATATAAAGACAAGGGTGATGAGGAAGAGGCTGCTTGATCTAAATTCATCCACTGACACTGGAAAAGCAGAGCGCTGAGAGGACAGACCAAAGATGGGGTTGGGATGGGACAACAGGAACAATATGACGAGCAACATGTCCAATCAGTTGGCAATCAGAATTCCAAAGACCGTCCTGAAATAGTATTAAACCTTGGGTCAACAATCACTTGAATGATGAGTGTCGCTCCAATAACACCTGAGAAGTTCAACACCATCTAGGACAAAGCAGCCCGCTTGATTGACACCACATCCACAAATGTTCACTCCTTCCACCACTGACGCTCAGTTGCAGCAGTGTGTGCCCTCTAAAGATGCAATGCAACAACTCACCAACTGTCCTTTGACAGTACCCTCCAAACCCACACTTTCTACTACCTAGACAGCAGACGCACAAGAACAACACCACAAGCAAGTTCCCCTCCAAGGTACATGCCATCCTGACTTGGAAACGTATTGTCGTTCCTTCACTGTCACTGGGTCAAAATCCTGATACTCCCTCCCTAAAAGCACTGCATGGGTTTCCTTTCAACACAGGGACTGCAGCAGTTCAAGAAGGCAGCTCACCACCACCTTCTCAAAGGGCAATTAGGGATGAGCATCAAATGCTGGTCCAGCCAGCAACGCCCACATCCCGTATCATATTTTCACAAACCCACTCACATATTCCATCCTATTCAGGGACTTAATCCCGAATGTGACGACCTTAATGGAGCTAATGCTGCCTTAGGCTAGACTGTGTGGGGAGTTTAGGATGGTCCAGTAAAGGCGGGGAGGTCTGTTCAATGTTTAAGTGTCAAAGTAATTGCACCATACCGAGGCGAAGGAGTGACAGGCAGCTTTCACAAATCTGCAAAATGTTTTGCTTCAAACAGTCCTTCATGTTAGCCAGCTCCGTTGTGCATGAAAAGAAAATTTAATGCTGTGTTCAGGTGAATCTGTCTGCCTGTTGCAATTTGTGCTATGTGTTTCTATGCAAGCTAATATTACCAAGCAGAGCAAAGCTTGTGCTGCACGCAAATTTTAAATTCAATAAAAGCTTCAGCAAAGGCCCTGTGTCTGAGCACTGATCATTTTCCTCACTTCAACCCAACACAGCCCCTCACTTGTAACATTGTCTTCTGTCTCTGACCCCTTCTCATCCAGACACCCTTCCATCAAACTGCTCCCTCCACACCTGAGCTTGCGCTGTTGTGTTCAGTTCTGGACACCAGATTTCAGGAAGGATCTGTCTGTGTGAGGGCATGGCCCAGTCAGCCCTGAGAGCCAATATGTTACTAGTTGAAGGTACAGGCCAGCTCTGGATGTCAACAGTTCTAGAAGGAGCCAGGAGAGGACCTTCTTGAAAAAGATAATGTGTCGTGATCTGAAAGGTCAAGCCTTCTCCTACTGCTTGCTAACACTTTGGAGGAGGTTTACAAGCATGGTACCAAGAAGCAACAGTTTTGGTTATGTGGACAGTCTGGAGAAGCTGGGGTCGTTCTCCTTAGAACAGAGAAGTGTGAGGGAATATCTGAGAGGTGTTCAAAACTTTGTAGCATTTTGATACAGCAGAGGGGGATAAAAAATTGTCCATGGCAAAAGGGCCAGTATCCAGTAATAATTAAGGTAATACAGAGAATAGGCTGGGGCTATTTTCCCTGGAGCATCGGAGGCTGAGGGGTGACCTTAAACTAGTTTATAAAATCATGAGGTGCATGGATAGGGTGAATGGCCAAAGTCTTCTCCCCAGGGTAGGGGAATTCAAAACTAGAGGGAATAAGTTTAAGGTGAGTGGTGAAAGATTTAAAAGGGACCCAAGGGGCAACTTTTTCACACAGAGGGTGGTGTGTGCATGGAATGAGCTGCCGAAGTGGTGGAGGTGGGTTCAATTACAACATTTAAAAAGAATCTGGATGGGTACATGAATAGGAAAGGTTTAGAGGGATAGGGGCCAAATGCTGGCAAATGGGACTAGATTAATTTAGAATATCTGGCCGGCATGGACAAGTTGGACTGAAGGGTCTGTTTCCATGCTGCTCATCTCCTAGACTCTATGGCATCATATTTTAAAAAAAAACCTGCCACCATATTGAAAGACATTTACAGTAAGCTGAGTTAACTACATGATGGACTACTCTTAACATGTGAAGCTGAACACTGCATGGCCAACACCAACAAATACAGATTTGCTGCTTATTTATTCATTGTGTTTGCCGGATCTTGTTGTGCTCAATCTAGGTGCACTCAATTGAAAGTATTGATTTGTCAGCACGTCAGCCTTTCGAGAAATCTGACTCTAGCCACTGTCTCTCAGCATTCCTGCAAATTCTGCCTCTGTCAAACACAGGTAATGCTCACACTAATTAACTAGCGGTTATCTTGTGAACGAGCCAGGGATCTTCCCCTTTTACATACCCAGGAACTCTCACCTGGCCAGGTCAGGGAGGAACAGCGACATTGATTCTAAATAACACAAATCCTAGTAGTGAACCATGCAGTACCCCCACTGGTTACAGCCTGCCATCGGGAAAATGGCCCATTTATCCAGCTGTCAGTTTCCTGTCTGTTAACCAATCCTCAATCATAGTATAGATGCAGTACAGGAGGAGGCCATTTGCTTCTTTGTGCCCATACCAGCCAAGCCCAATATGGTACCTCCAACCCCATCAGGAATAATTTTGTGATATTCTATAGTGTGGCACTGTACAAAGGTCATAGAGTGAAGAAGGGAGTCAGTCAGCCCATGCCAGCTCTTTGTAATGTAATCCAATCCTATTTCCGCACCCCCTCCCCAGCTCTCTGTGGCCCCAAGAATTTATTTTCAAGTGCAAATCCCAATTTGTTCTGAAATCATTCATTGTCTCCGTTGGCAACACCCTCATGGGCAGCGTGTCTGTCTCAAAGAAAATCTTCCTCACAACCCAGCCACATCCCTCGACCCTGATCTAAACCTGTCATTATCTTGTACACCTCGATCAATCACCCACCTCATTTGCCTTAGCTCCAAGAAGTACAATCACCAGCCCTTAATCGAGTGCTTTTCAAAAATCTCAATACATTGCAATCACCGTTCCACCTTTACTGACTGAACATGCTCACAGAAGCGTCAAGAATTATCTCCCTCTCATAAATCCTGCCTAATCATATGGTGATTTTTATACGATGTGATCTGAATAAGGTAGTTTTGATTGGGATTTCATACCCACAGAGATTTATTTTGGAAATAACTGTAAGTGAAACATTCTACTAAAAAAGCCAACAAGACATCTGAACAATGTTAATTGGGAGTCAAATCTAATTAAATCTGAACAAGACTCAAGTGTTTGAGCCAACAGAGGCTTTCAGATACATTATCAAGGTGGAAATGCTCCAAAACATTCTTTGGTCTCCCCCCTTCAATTTCAGCAGCTGCTATATTTGGAGTCGGCCAGTCTCAAGTGAAACATAATTAATTTTTCACTTTAGCACAACCCTTCAAATTCAGAGAAGGGCCTACACCCACAGTGCAAAGCTGAGCCACTGTACTCTGATAGCACAGAATGAGGCAACTCTGGGCACAATGTTGAAAGAATTAATCCTCAGCATTCACTTAGCAGCTACAAGCTCACTCTGGCTTGGCTTTGTTTGCAACAAGAGCTCTTGCATCTCAGGCAATGCATGTATGCTGCCTCGATTCTGTAAAGGCACTTGTCAATGCCTCATAGCGCAGTCAGGTCTGCAAGTCATGATGCCATGGGATCAGTGGCAAAGTCTTAGATTTGGACTGAGGCACTGTTGGGAAGTAATAGAGGATGGTGTGCTTACTACAAGGGACTCAGTGCAGTGACTAGTAATACAATGCAATGTGTGACAATCGAAAGGCAGGCAAGGCCAGTGAGAGAGAGAGAGATAGTAGGAGGGTGCTGCTAAGGAAGAGAAGGTGTGTTGAGTGCCCAATGCTATTTTGGGGAGCAAACTGGCATGTCCAGGTAAGGTTGTGCTTTTATAAATCAAAGTGAACGATGCTGATGTTGGGTCTGGCCGTGGAACTTCTAGGGGAGGACAAGTGAGAGCTTAATTCAGGTCTTTAAGCACCGCATGGTCCATATCATGGAAGGATGTAGTTTTGCCCTTCATTTATGCTGAATTCTCCCTAGATTTCCACATACTTCAATCCAGGAAAATTCAATGGAGACCCCAGAAGACAAAGACGGCTTCAAGCAAGCGATGAGCTTGAATCTTGATGGAAAACTGGATGGAGCCACAGGAACCTTACCTGGGGCTGTCACATCCTTTGGTATCGCATTCAGCTCCACCACATGCTGGTGCTCTTGTTGCACTGGGTAAAGTGCATGTTGATATTTCAACATATACCTTGCCATCATCTCCATTTAAACAGTGCTGCAATAGACAGAAATAAAAAGCAAACACTCCACCTTTGAAACAAAATCAGCTGGGGAACACCCAGGGTCACGTGATGTGCTAAAAAGCTACATAGCAGAAGCACCTGCTGATGGACAGATCTTGCACAGTGTTGATGCTAATGTGAACAGTGCGTAGTTAATATTCTGAACCGATCATTTGGTCAATTTGCATTGCTATTTTCACATTAAAACAGAGGCCCCATGTGGGGTTGGGGAGAATATGAAATATGTCGCGGCATTATTTCAAGCAAGAGCACAAGGAATCTTCCCAGTGTTCTGGTCAATATTCATCTCTCAATCAACATGACAAATACAAACCATTCTGTCTGTGGGAGATGGTGGTGCGTAAATCTGGCTGCTGTGCTTACTACAACAGTCACAACACTTTAAAATGCTTCAAAGCAGGCATATCCTCTTGCCCATGGAGTGGCTTGAGCCCAGACCAGTCGATGGCAAAAACAAGACCACAAAACAGGGAACAAATGCAAAAAAGAAAAAGCTGCAGCATTTATTTTTATTGGGGCTTCAAAGAATGAACTTTCAAAGCTTGTCGGACAAAAATCGGCACGATCACCTGGTGCACCTTCTCCCCCCGCCTGACCACACCAAACCAGGCCGAATCACAGCTTTCCAGTCCACTGTCTGCCAATGCACTGCCCTAACGCATCACAGGCAGGCAATCCCCATCCAAGGCTCGGCGTGGCTGGAGGTAATACTCATGGTGATCTCAGGGATGTCAAAACCAATGCTGAACTGTTAAAATCAGCAGCGTGAGTTAACCAACTTGCAGCTCTTGCAATAAACGCTGCTTCACTGATATTTTTCCTTGCAATCCCCACAGACTGAATAGAGGAGACTGCAGCCCTGTCTGTGATAACTTGTGGAGGCCAGCACCTGAATATAAACTTCAAACTGCAGCACTTGTTTGTATGCTACCATATTTTGTTGAGGGGGCAGTTTAAGTGCCTTCCACACTAGCCCCCTAACCTTTCACGGTAGAGGGTCCCCACCCTCCCTCACCAATGCTAAACACTATTGACCAATGGAGAAAGAGCAGGCAGCTAGCCTACTCCCTACCCTCTGCCAATAGTGCTCTAGCCAGGGAGATGTACAAGGTTAGACAGCACTGACTTAGCAAGGGCCCCCCTGGAAGTGCCTGGTCACAGTTTGACACCTCCCTTGACAGCCTAGTACCCTTCGGTGTGGCAGGCCAATGGCCTGCTACTTTGTGGCTCATGGTCGCGGTCAAGTGACATCCATTGAATGTCAGTGTGCGAGACAGAGAGAGAGAGAGAGAGAGACAGGAGTTTCACAGAAGTCCAGGGGCCAGTACAGAGGGCAGCTGCACTGACTTGTCTTTCATGCTGTTTGAAAGAAAGCTATGTACGCCCATGAAAAGGGGATCATACCACAGCTTCCGGTAGTCTTCCCAAAAGGAATCTCTCACAACACTGAGTCCTTTTTTTGTTTGAAAACACTGCAATACTGAGTCGCTTGGCGATTCCCAGTCATTCGCTGCACTTGAAGCATCACATATCATAATACAAACGAGTCATTTCAGCCGTTTTTTTTTTCATTTAAAGTGCTGAAATTTTGGAAATGGCTATGTTCCTCGTGGGAGAATTTTTACAGTACGATTAAAAAAAAAGAAAGTTGCAAATTCCCAAGTTCCTTGGTTCGCCTAGGGTTCAGATCATTTCCTCAAGTGAAGAGTGTCCTGGAACTTGGTGCTGGTGTAACGTGCGTGGAACCCCTTCTTGTTAATGGTGTCATCTGTGTGGAAGCGAATCATGATAGAATCCCCGGCAGAATAAATTTCCTCAGGAGGCTGCAACAGAAAATGTTGACCCATCAATAGAGGACTACTGTTGATATCTAACTGCGCCTACACCCACTCCAGTTCTTACTGTCCTGTTTACTCAATGTTGCTGCTGTCTCCATTACTCCTCCTTTAACCCAATTGGTAAGATAAAGGAAGGCAGGTAAAGATCAATGGTACCCCATTTGGGAGTCTCAGCAATTTATTGTCTGCAGCAAGATAAACTCAGTTGACTGGGAGTTTGAGCAAACCTGCTGCACTGTCCCTGCTGTCCTTCATTTAGCTGACTCCAAAAAGATTGTGTGTGTCGCTGTGTTCAAGCACGTGGATAACCTTTCCTTCATTCTTTCATGGGATGTCAGCGGCAGTGGCGAGGCCGCTGTGTGTTGCCCATCCCCAACTGCCTCTGAATGGAGTGCCTTGCTGGGGCCATTTCAGAGGGCAGTTAAGAGTCGACCACATCGCTGTGGGACTGGAGTTACATGGAAGCCAGACTGGGTAAGGATGGCAGATTTCCTTCCCTCAAGGACATTAGTGAACCAGATGGGTGTCTACAACAAGGACAGTTTCGTAGTCACGTTACTGAAACTAAATTTCCATTCTAGGTTTTTTAAATGAATTGAAATTCCACCAGCTGCCACGGTGGGATATTTGCAGGCATTCATTGGTCTTGTGCTGTAGAGTGTAGTGTTCCCACTTATGAGCTAGAAGCTCTGGGTTTAAGACCCGCTCCAGGACTTAATGGCCACCATGTTCATAACATGGCCAGACAGGTTAATTATCAACTTATCAATCTTTCCGATACATTTATGGCAGGTGATTAAAATGGGAGAGCTGCCCAATCAGCCAAGCTCTGTCTCTGGGGATAGGCCTGTGTCAGGAAACACTAGCTACATAAACAGGGATGAGTGCAAGCTTTCTCTGCCTCATGCACCAGGCAGCTTCAAAGTATGTGTGCTTGTACACACATCTGTGAAATCTTATCTGCGCACTTACCTCACATTCAGATGTGCTGTGTGCATATGAGCATATGAACACCTATAGACGAATGCACATACATGGATAGGTGCATAATGTCATAGTGTGAGAGTTCGTGTGCGAGTACATTTATGTATGTGAGTACACGTATGTCCTCACATATGAGTGCATGCCCAAACAGCAGTTTACCCTGCTCTTTGCTCAGAGATGAGCTCATGGATGATGTGTTGAGTGAAGGGCACATGCAGACAAGCCTCCCACCCACTGCATGTATACACCTCCCAGAAGCACCGTACGGAATTTTAAGTGTAGGGACAAGGGGTGGGAAGAACTGCAAACAGTGAGAGCAGAAAATGAAGATCAGAAGTGGGCTGCACTGCAACTGACATCAGAATGCAAGGAAGCATGGATAAAGGTTTCGCCATTCCTTCCACAGGTAGGGGATTTGGTGATGGGATGCTATTCAGGGTCAAAAGGGAGATGGCTGGACCCACTCGGTGGAGGTGGTTGCTTTTGGCACTTGTGTGGCGCAAATGTAGCCTGCCAGTTATTTGTCCAAGCCTAAATGTCCAGGTCTTGCTGCATCTGGGCTCTGGTTTCTAGGACGGTTGGCAGGTCCATGCTAAACTGGGGTGGTTTCACAGTGTTGGGACAGAGAACCAAAAGGTATTGGGAAATCGCTGAACAGACATTGTGAGCGCTTACCCCGGAGCCACAGAACCTGCCCAGCCTTGGGGCAGTATCATCTGAGCCATCAAACAACTCCATGTAATCGTAGCCACAGTCTGCCTCCTCCTCGATCTCGAAGGTCTGAAATATCAGCTCAACCCCGTAGCCCTCCTCAGCCCGGATCACCCACTGGCAATCGGCTCCTCCAGGGTAATTGTTATCACCAAACTGCGAGTGAGAGTACAGGTCCTTGGTTTTCACTTCGGCCTTCAGCTTGCCCCCACATTCTGCAGAATAAAATACTGCGTATAACACTGGTCTCTGGATAGAAACTTCCCAAGATGGTTAACTCCTCAACTGTATCACTTGCTCAATGCCATCGCACTATTTATAGTTTGCTATTTTCCTTCACTAGACAGCAACAAGATCCTCCCCAGCTTGGACTACATCCCGCTTCGTCAGGGCTGTGTGTTCACCTTCCTTCAATTTACAGTTCTTGTCTCAATGGGTTGCACTTCACACAGGAAGCTGGGGGAGGGCTCAAGGCCCACGGGGGAACATATACAAGGTTGACACCAAAACACTGCTGCTCTGTCAGAGGCGCTGTCTTTCAGTTGAGACCCTAATCCAATGTCCTGCTTGCCTTTCAGGCACCCCAGGGCAGAAAGTCATCTAATCAATTATCTACCAGATTTTAATGCGTTGAAATGAACACAGCCTTCCCTGCATTACAAAATTGACATCACTTCATTCTGCTTGGTGCTATTAAGTATATTTGCTGCTTAAGGCTATCAAGGTTTTATGGCATAGGAATGGCCATTCAGTCTATGCTGGTTCTTTGTACAGTTTTCCAATCTGCCCCATTTCCCTACATTACCTCTGCAACCAACTGTTGGTGGGGAATGGTGCTGCAGCAGTCCTCTAGTATTTTGACCAGATGACTATCCATGCATCAGGTCGCAATGTTACTGGATTGCAGGGGTGAAGTGTGTGTGGAATCTCTATTAAGTTCAGTCCTCTCCTTACCAACTAACACTTAAACCAAAAGTCAATGCATTGCGACCAGCATTAGGAGCCAGCCTAGCTTTCTATGTGGTTCATCAGTTCTGACTCCATGCCATCCCACCCGAGCTGCTGGGAGCCCATTATTTTACAGCTTCGTACGGCTCCGAATTGCTGCAGATCCAGTATAAGTGCTTGTGGAAAAGTCAATTGCTGTGCTTAAACTTGGATGCTTGCCCAGAAATTAAGCCTTTGCTGACTGACATCCTCCTCACTGTGGCTAAAATTTGTTATAATATAAGCTCCTTTTCTCAACTGCTTTGTCCAACCAAAAACTCACATTTAGTCTGAGAGGACATTGTTAAATGCATAATTTGAAGACTGCAACCTACGTGCACGGGTGAGGTGACCCAGGGTGAAGCAGAAAAGACACAGTGAATCGCATGCATCAATGC